ATCAGATAGCGACTCGACGGAATGAAGTGTGAGACACTGTCACTTACCGTTACCCACCTCATTCCATAATGAACTCTTCTGCCTAGATACAACGTGTGGCCACTGAGATTTGCAGTTTTGTCACGATATACGAGGCCTGTCTAAAAAGTATCCGACCTTTGGCCAGAAAAAATATTTCGAATACTTGACGGAGTTGGGACCCTAATCCCCTTCAAAGTAGGCCCCTTGTGCTTGCACACACTTAGCCCACCGATCCTTCCAATGCTGGAAACACCTCTGGAAGTCTTCTTTTGGAATGGTGTCCAGCTCTCTTCTCTACTCTCAAAACGGGATCCTTTCAGTGGCGTCTTCAATTTTGGAAACAACCAGAAGTCGCAAGAAGCCAGGTCTGGAGAGTAGGGAGGTTGGCGAACGGTTGTAATTCCATGTTTGGCTGAGAAAGTGTTGATCAATTGATATGAATGTACATCTTGATAGTACTCCTTTGTCACTGTTTGTCCTTCCGGTGCGTATTCGTGATGCACAATTCCACGGACATCAATTTAATTTTGCTTCGCACCTGACGCGCTTTCTTCGGCCTTGGAGAATCGAGATGCTTCCATTGCGACGACTCTTTTTATTTCTGGGTTGTACCCGTACGCCCATGACTCATTTCCAGTTATCACGGTGTTTAGAAACCCAGAATCGGTGATGGCGGTGTCCAGAAGGTCTTGTGCAATGTCAAAACGAATATATTTTTGTTCAGGTGACAACAACTTGGGTACGAATTTCGCAGCACCCGGTACATGTTCAAATATTCACGCAAAATTGCATGTGCAGAATCTTTACTCAGTCCAACCTCTTCTGCAATCTCCCGCACTATCAAACGACGATCTGCCATTATTAAACGCACCCTCTCAACATTAGCTGCACTCCGAGCAGTTTGGAGCCTGCCGCAATGCTGCTCACTCTCCGCTGATGTGCGGCCATCTTTAAATCGGTTGAACCACTCCTTAATTTGTGTTACACCCATCGCATCTTCTCCAAACACCTGCTGAATCTTACAAATTGTTTGGCTTTGAGAATCACCAAACTTTTGACAGAATTTGATGCAGTATCTTTGTTTAATTCGTTCAGTCATCTTGCGACAAAACTAAACACTAAGAACAGCACCTTACTTGGCGACCACCAGCCAGGGACTTGCACAAAAGCACAAGCGAACGCGGTGAAAAAATTCAAGCATGCGCATTAAGGTTCCTCCTTCCACCATGCACAGTGGCGCCGCCTTAAAATCACTACTTCACGCGGGAAAAATTAAAGTCGTATTCTTTTTAGACAGGCCTCGCATTTTTAGTTCCTTGGTTAAGACAGAAATATTATTGCTACAACATTATCGGCTATTACTAAGCAGGTCTTGCGTACGTGACAGTTTGCATGAAATATATTTTGATTTTATTATGTTGAATCGATAGAACAATTGTTAATCAGGAGATAGACGATGTCGGTTCTTTGGATATGTGGGGTTTGAACGCAGGTATTTCTTAAGACCAGGACCGGTCTGGGCATGCTGTTTAAATTGAGGAATGTATTTCATGAAATTTAAACAGTTTGTAAGCTTGTTTTTGTAAATAACTGTATAGAAAACCAGAGAGAGCGATCATAGAAATTAACAAGGGAACAGAAGAAATGTATGCCGACGCCCTGACTGTAGGCAGAGCAAATATACCAAATTTAATGTTTTATATTGTCGAAACGATAATAATTACAGTTTCTTTCGAAATGGTTTTTAAAAATCTTGCTTGTATTACTTGCTACTATGTAAACTGATAGGTAGCACACGGGCATTACAACTTTAAAATGGCTTCCGACCTAAACACATTTCATTTTTAACTGCTTACCTACATGGTGTTGCGTATATAGTTGCAGATTCTGGGAACATTAATCCGCCAGTTTTTAGAAATTTATCTCTCGCTACAATGACAGAATCTAACATTCCCTCGTGTAACAAATAGAATCCCATCCATTCTGAAACGATTATATCGACTTTTTCCGGTAGGTTGACGTCTTCCACTTTAGAATTGATAACCTGAAAAAGATCTTTAGACAGGGTTTTAAAAAATTTTAGATTTTATTTGAACCATAGACGTCGTGTTTTTGATGTTGAAGGAACAATATATTTTTAGAGAAATGTTTATTAATATTCTCTCAAATGTGATAGAATTATTATTCAAATAAAAAAAAAAACTTAAAATCGGTACAATTTCAAATGTATTAATCGGTACTGGTTTCGGAATACTTGGACATCATCATGCATATTTAAAATACCACAAGTTGAAGTTAGATATTGGAACTTTAATGTAAGTTTCTGTCTAGAATCTAGAATTTAAACATAATTCGAATAATAATAGTAAAAAAAGGATGGGAGAGAAAAATCGGTTACGGTTCCAAAACGAAAGTTATAGAAATTTGGAAATCTGAAAATGAACACCCAATTTCCCCTAAGAAACTAAGGAATCCATTTTCACAACCCCTGGGTGGAAACTAATCAAAGAAAAATAGAAAAGTGGTCATAGGCTTCAGTAGCCTAATTGGTAAGGCAATAAAATGTAATTTCAAGGATCTAGAGTTATGGGTTATGAGAACGGATAGGAGGAATTGGGGGTCTTCATTTTTAAATTTCTAAATTTATTATAGTAAAAATAGTTGACATCTCATTCTTCATTTTATCTTTGGACGCCTATACACATACTTTTATAACATTTTCCAAGTTATTCTCTTTGGCAATCTCTTCGGCAATTTTGTAAGTGTTGCTAGCTTCTACGGCATATACAGTTTTGGCACCGGCTTGAGCACAAAAGACTGATAGAATTCCAGTACCTGCCCCTACGTCCAAGACTGTTTTACCTTTGAATTCGTGTTGGTTGTTGAATATGGCGTCCCTGTAGGCGGTATTGCGCGGTGAATCTTGTAGCATTAATTTGTGAATCTATAAAAAATGGAAAATTTGGTGATCCCATTGCAAAACAAAAGAAAGAAGGGAAAACGCTAAATCGGTACCACATATTAGCAATACTTGCAATTAGTTTCAACCTACTTATGCCATCATCAGGCCTGAAATATAACAACACATAAGGTTTGTTCCAAAACATAAACATGCGATATGGCCACGAACGCTTGCAGCATTTATACCAATCACAGTTAAAGAATCGCAAGCATAAACGAGGCGAGACCCTTCAAGAATATGAAGTAGATACTCCCAGATTGGTGCGATTTACCTACCCTTCAGCTCCGGAAAATATGATGGAATGTCTAGCTGCCCAAACAATTGTTGATGGACTCAATGACCATGAAATGCAGAAAACACTCCGTCTAGCCCATCACAAAACATTGGTCAATGTCTTGTCCGCTACTCTAGAGTATGAGGCAGCTTCGTAAGCTTCTGGCGGATACAGTAAAGCGAGGACTGTAAAAGAGGAAAATAAACTCGACCAATTGGTAAACATGATGAAGAGCTTTACTGATAAAAAGACGAAGACCATCAGGTGCTGAAATTGCGGTGAACTGGAACATGTACGCAGTGGACTACTAAGAACAACTGTAGTCAAGGATGAGTGGGCCCCTGCGAAACTTTGGGAAGAACAATAGAACTGACCCCATTTTAAGGAAGACAATGTCGATATTCTGGACGGTATTTCTATTTGTGCCTTATGGTTTTGGCTTTTCCGTCTTGCTCCGTGTCGATTGATATTTTCAAGACAGTGTGGTGAGTATGAGGCTGTTGGAAGTGGTGAGGGTTGAGATTTTGTTTGGCTTTAATTTTGTCGTATCGAGAGAATCCTCGATTTCTATTCAGAAGGCCGGTCAATCATAACGTTTGCCGTCGAGCTGGCATTGGGCCTCTCCCTACAAGTTTCCGCGCCGTCTCGTCTGTATTTACACTGTCGCTGCCATTAGGTCTATGCCTGTCCACCTCGAAGACTCGAGAAAGTAACTACAATGTTTTCTCTCGCAGTGTGAATTATAATAGTGATTAAGTCTAAATAAATTAATTAGTAATTGGTGTAAATAAATGATAAATAAACTATTTTTAAATTAAACAATCATTACAATATGTTATGTTAAACCTGTGAAAAATTTATGATGTAATAAATATGTTCACTAACACGTGACTTTGAATCAAAACCTCTGGATGAAATCACAAGGTCTACTGCCAGCACTTCAAGGATATTATCACCAGATACCTTCTTTAAAATAATAGATTACAGTCCACTTGAATTTGGTCCAAAACAGGGCCGTATTAGACGATGTATTATAGATAGTAATCTATAATACCGTTAGGACACGCGTAGGCTTTTTTTATTACAAATTAGTTTTAGAATCCATTTAGGAAAATGAAAATTTTGGTTGATATCGCCATCCCAGTATACCTACTGTATATTAGTTATATTAGATAAAAGCATAGTATACAATTTTCAAATGAGATATATCTAGGTGTTCCCTTAAAAATTTGAATCTACTAATAACACCTCATATTTTTAGCAAGATGGTTTATATGTAAATAACATCGTAGATGCTTGTCGATAATTGCTTCGACTGATTATCAAATTTTCTAGGCAAGGAAAGCAAATTTGAATAGGAAGTAAACTGCAGATAACTGGTCTTGTATACGTTCAAAATGAGTTTGTTGTGTGCAAGCCACTTTGGAATACTAGAAAAATCAGTTTCATTTGCGAGATGTATCCAATATTCCTTTGTAACAGTAAAATATCTTGTTTTAGTGGCCAGGGCAAAAATTGACAAAATCCTAAATATCAATATTCCTGATAATTTATTAGTAGAATTATTACTCAATTGTTTCCACAATTACAGAGCAAATAATGTTTTAAGATAATAGATTATTAGAAAACTATACCTTGTAAATTCAACTGATTAATAGGTTATCTCAATAAGATCGAAAATCAAAGATAACACGAATTATAATCGATTAATAATTTCATTTCTACTTGTAAAACCGAGTGGTACCTAAAGGGATTAAAATGGTTAAAGCTAAAATATTTATTCTGGCAAAACATTTCGATGGTTACCCTAAAGAGACCGATTTGAAGCTGATAGAGGAGGAATTGCCACCAATTAAAAATGGAGGTAAGTATCTATATAAAACTATTAATATATACGTATTTTTTTAGTATAAATTACTTTAAATGACTAAAAATATAAATAGATCAAATTGAAGAGCCCTAGTTGACTTATGAAAATGTACTAGAAATTGAATAATTAACTAATCAATTAGTATTTTTTAAATTGAATTACCTAGTTATATAACTTGAAGATTTTTATATTATTGTAATTTTTTTTAAGAATTCCTTACCGAGGCTGTTTATTTGAGTGTTGATCCCTATATGAGAGCATATGAACCTGGTCTACCGTTGGGAGAACCATTTATAGGATCCCAAGTGGCCAAGTAAGATTATATTTCAATAAAAAAAATACGAAATTTATAAAAAAAATAACTTTCCAGAGTAATTGAAAGTAAACATCCCAAATATCCAGTTGGAACTTATGTAATTGGACAGTTCGGATGGAGGACGCATACAATAGCATCAGGAGATATTTTGGGAATAGTCGGTAGAGGAAGAGCGCCACAATTGGTGGTAAAACAAGCATTAGATTTGCCACTTTCCGTTGCTCTAGGAGCAGCTGGTATGGTTGGGTAAGTAAACTGTTGTCTTCCTATCAATTTGTGTGATGCATCATTTGAAATATCTATAGCAGCACTATGAAAAAGAGGGTGACGTAAAAAATCACAAATACTTTATTGTCCTTTTAGAAATTCGGCATATTTTGGATTCCTCGAAATCTGCAAACCCAAAGCGGGAGAAACCGTGGTTGTGTCCGGAGCGGCGGGTGGTGTAGGTAGTCAGGTAGGCCAAATTGCGAAAATTAAAGGCTGCAAAGTCATCGGAATCGCCGGTTCCGACGAGAAAGGTAAATGGTTGGTTGAAGAATTAGGATTCGATCATTTTATTAACTACAAAACCGAAAACGTGGATGAGGCTTTGAAGCAGCACGCTCCCGAAGGAATTGACTGTTACTTTGACAACGTAAGTATTATTAAGTTAAAATCACATTTTTGGGTATCGCTAAATCAACATTTAACTTGGGTTGGATCAAATATGCCTGTGCTCTGTGTTCTCTACGGTTTAAAAAAATATGACCTTGAATTCTCCCCATGAATGGCCTTTAACGTCGCGGATCAGAACGCTATCGCCACACTCACATAGTTATAAAAAAATCATGACCTGGAATTCTCTCCGTGAATGGCCTTTAACGGCGCGGATTAGAACGCTGTCACCACACTCACATTGTTTTCACGTACTTAAATGCATCTACAGCACCCCAAAGTTGCCAGATGAAAAATTTGTAAAACAGTAGGTTGGTGGAAGAAAAAAAAGAAAGAATAGATTTTTATTAAACAATAAAAATCTAAATATTCTAAAAAAAAGTATATAACAATATAAATCTACTTGATGCTTATGGCTATGTTAATGTTATTACTGAGCCAACTCGCATTTCTGAAAGTTGTGCCACATTACTAGATCCCATCTTTATTAATTGCAAAGACATTTGTCAAGACAGCACCACCATCCCCTTTCACTTGAGTGATCATAATATGATGCCTCATTGCACACTAAATATATCTATTAATAAATCGAGACAGAAATTCATTACTAAAAGGAAATTTAAGAACCTAAACATTGAAAAATTTAAAAGGGATTTACAAGCAATTTACTGGGATGGTATATTCTTTATTGATAATATTAATGACAAGGTCAGCTTCTTAACTGACAATATGCTTTTCAATGAACATGTACCCTTGGTAAAAATCAAGAGTCAGTAAACCACCAGCTCCCTGGCTTACTGATAATTTAAAGTTAATTGTCAAGGAACGGGATAAGGCATTATCTAAATTTAAATGTAACAGAACACCTGAAAACGAGGGATTATATGGAATATCGAAATTATGCTCTGGCCTCAATTAGGAGGGGAAAAGCAGCATTTTTATCCAGTTTGCAGAATGAAAAAAATGAGAAACATTTATGGAAAGGCCTACACAATATGAATGTTCATTCTATTTTAAAAAATGATCTACCTGTGAACCTACAAAATCCTACAGAAATAAATGATTATTTTACTTGCATTTTTAAAAAATTTGACAATTGTCTTAACAGGATTCATTATTATGCTAATAATAAATACCTGAACAATACTTTTAATTTTAACTTAGTTAATCAAAATAATGTCCGAGATGCAATAAATATATTAATAATAAGACTACAGATCATGATGTTATTACTATGTAAATATAATGTAAATAATGTAAACCTTCGCCTGCCTGGTGCAAATGTATGTATGCATTTGTTTTAATAAAGACATATAATTATTATTTAAATATTCTTAAAAAAGACAAATTAATAAATAAATTAACAGAAAAGTAAATGTATATATTAACAAAATTAATAAATTAAATAAATATTCTTGAAAAACAAAAAATAAACTAATCAATCTGAATCAGTTTCTGAAAATACAACTAAAACTGCACTCTTATTATAACACAAAATCAAATCCTCATTATTTACAAAAATAGCATAAAAATGTACTTCATAAAAACTGTAAGTAGGTAAATATAGTAACTTTAATTTATTATATTCAATGAAAACAGTGGATTTTAAACTCAAAATAGTAAGACCATGAATAAAGTGAAAAAAATGGTAGAAATCTATTATTAAAACAGTAGAACTGGCAAAATTGAACATTGAGTTGGAGAATCCACATAAATATATATCCAAAATAACACAAAAACATCCCATTATCTTTATACTTTCTAGGTTGGTGGAGCAATAAGCAGCAGCGTTATTTATCAAATGAACAAATTTGGAAGAGTCTCAGTTTGTGGAGCTATATCTGGTTATAATGAAAAAGTTAGAGGTAACTATCCTAATTATATACTCAGAATATCTCTCGACTTATGTATTAGATATCTAATAAATGTTATGTTCTACTTTCTCTGTTTCAGCAAAATCCATATATAAACAACTCGTTAGTAAAGAACTATTAATGGAAGGATTTTTGGTAACGAAATGGGGGGATAGATGGAATGAAGGTGTAATTCAAAATGTAAAATGGATTAAAGAAGGAAAATTGAAATATCGCGAGCAGGTCACAGTAGGATTTGAAAATACCTTTAAAGCTTTCCTAGATATGCTGAAAGGCGTAAATACCGGAAAATCCGTTGTAAAAGTTTAAAAACAAACATCGTGGTTATAAACATTTAACAAAAAGAACTGTACTGTTTACTTGCCTCTAAATCTTCGTAACTTTCAAAATAATTATTAGTTTCCATCGATTCCATTTCTGTAATAAAGTATTTTTGGTTTTTTATTATAGTTTTATTTACATACAAAAGTTCCTAACCACAAAATCCAACGTGGTCGAGATAAGTCTAGACTTTTACACATATCGATCAACAGCCAAGAGAACGGTGTCATACAAACGCAGTAGTTCTTTCACTCAATTAAAACAGAAGACTTTAATTTTAAAGAAGTGGCTAGAGGTCCGACTCGTCCGACTAGTTGTATCTAGAGAAAAAATACAAATCCAGAGACAAGGCAAATAAGTGGACAAAATAAGTTATTGGCTATTTATTTGAATGTAAGTATGTTTTAAACTTAGGTGACAAAATTGTATAAATAGTAACAATAATTGAATAAATAAATATAATAAAAAATATTTTATTTCTTTTTGTTTAAAGTCCTTTGTTTCTCTGCATGAATAACAACTTCATCTTCAACGTGTAACCCTTTGCGCCTTCTCACGTCTTTTCTCAATTTATTAGCTCTTAAAGCTGACTCGACGTTGATACCCTCTTCTTCCTCATCTTCGTCTTCTACCGGTTCGTAAAACGGATCACCATCAATAATTTCGTAATGACTGAATCTCAAAGTCGGATTGGCTTGTCCGGACGTAGTTTTTCTCATTTCGTTTGCAAAGTTTTCGCTTTCTAATACTGGAATTTGGGCTTTGACGAGGAAAACCTTTTCTTTATCATCCATGCATACATCTTCAATGATTTTACCATGTCTTTTGCTGACTACGCTGTACACTTTTCCTAAGATGTTCGTGTTTACTTGAATTTCCGTTACGTATAAAGGTTCCATCAATCTTTGCTCTTGTTTTTCAAAAGCTTTTTTCAGAGTTTCACGGATACTAGACTCTATGGATGATGTAGTTTGAGGTGTGATATCTTCTAGATTGACTTCGGTAGATAGTTCGAATTTCTTAACAATGAAAGCACAATTTGTTAAAGGTTCTTCACATAAAGGCCCCGCTTTACATATAATATTAAACGCATTGACCACGCAGTGGTTAAATAACGATCTCTTATCATGTCCATTGAGTTCAACAAAAATATTGTGATCATAGTTTGAAGTATCGTTTATTAAAACGTTTAAACAATCACTGGATGTACCAACACTCCATAATCTATCTTCCAAACCTTTCCAGGATGTGGAGGATCCAAAAACTGATTTTAATTGTTCCGTAATGTGTAGCAAAGCTTTCTTAGTAACTTCACGTTTAAAAACTTTTTCTACAGCCTTAGTACCTGTGGCATTACTAAAAGAATGTTTAGCGATATCGATAAAACTTTTATGCTGATGGTCTTCCACCATTTTTAACAATTCATGACTACTCCTAATTACTTCCAATATATTTTCAGGTAGGGGTACAGCCAGTACTGATAACATCAAATATTGTGTATCTAGATTTACTACATTGATCTGATCTTTGGCAAAATCATATTCTGCCTGGCTGTTAACAACAGTTTCCCTTAAAGACACCATAGGACTAGAAACATGTATTTCTATTTGAGCAAATTTATTTTTCAAATCTTCTATACATTTACCCAGATGTACATCACCGGCAGTTAGGAGTACTAACTCACCAGTTTCTTGCATTATAACCTCGACGCAAGAGTCGCTTTGCAAAAGCAGTTTAAGACCTTGACGAAGAATGGGCAATTCTCGAGGATTTACCGGTTCTATGGCGTGTCTGACAACCGGGTCTATTCTCGGTCGTTCGACAAGCGGAACTGTGTTCAAATCTGTAGATAAAGTAGCAGTTCTGATGACACAAGATTCTAGACCTCCTATTCCACAAAAATTACCAGCTGGGATGGAATCTACTAATGTTAATTCTCGCCCAAACAGCATGTATAGTTCCTTGATAACCACTTTGTTTACATGAGGACAATTTTTAACAAACTCGTCTGGGTTTTCAAGTATTTTTAATTCATCAGGTAAATATGACCCAGTAATGGCAAATATTTCTTGACCAACATGGAGTACACCAGTAAATACTCGAGCTAAAGCTATCACAGCTATATCATCACACACTGCACTATTTTTAATATCTACTAATTCGTTTTCATTATCTTTATTTGAATCAGATGCTGCATCTGGAGTACCTTCCAGTTTTGGCAGTGCTTCTGAATTTCTAGGTCGTGGCATAAACACTTTTGGTTTAAATTGTGACAAATTCTTTTTGCTTACACAAAACATTTTGGAAACATAAGCTACTGACGTAGTTTCAGGTGTTGTAGAGATATTCTCGAAGTAAGGCATTACTTTTTCTACACATTTATTGTAATAATGATTTTCACAAAATTTCTTTACGTTAAGTAAATATTCGATTTTCGTTTTTTCTATTTTGGAAGGCGATGGTATCTGTTTTAAGCATTGAAGCAATATCGTGGATGATAAGGGCTTCCAAGCTTGTAAAATTGCCCTTACTTGGATTTTTGGATCATTATGTGTCATGTCTCTAGTGACTAGTTTTATATTCAATTTTTCTATTATTGTATTAGTTTTGTCTTTCTCCATGTTTATGACTAATGTTTCGTAAATGTGCACTATAGTTTTTAAACAAAATTGCGTAAATAGGTTAGTTTTTTTCTTGTCTATAGCGCCAAGTTTTAATTCCTTCTTTGAATCTACATAATAATCAAAGTTCCACATTTTTTTATTTAGAGAGTCTATAGTTTCATTTTTAAGTAAACCAACAAACATTCGAGATATTTGTTCAGTGGTAATTCCCCAACCATCTATAGCACTTGCAAAAATTACATTGCCCGAATCTGGGTTGAATAAAAGCCCTGTATCTTCAATATCAATTTCATTATCAGTAAATTCATATTGATACAGTTCCGCTACTATAGCATTACATCCTTCAATCACTCTTAAAATAGTTTGGAATATTTCATCGATACTTTTTCTCAATTCCACAATCAACCTATCAAATTTGTTTAATACCAAGATCATTTTAGTGTGTTCTTCAAATGCGTTTTTGATGGATTCCCTAGTTTGAACACAAACCCCTTCTACAAGATCTACAAGTATTATCGCACCATCAGAAACTCTTAAAGCTGCCCCCACTTCTGAAGAAAAATCTATATGTCCAGGTGTATCTATTAAATTTAATAAAATCTTTTTGTTTTTACCATCAGTTTCATCGTATACTAAATTAAGGAGAGACACTGCACTGCTTTTCATCGTTATTCCTCGTTCCTGTTCATCTGGTCTGTCGTCTAGATAACGGAGGAAACCTGCCATGCGTTTGCTGACCAGGCGATTGGTTGCTAAAAGTGAGTCAGCTATTGTAGTTTTCCCATGATCGACGTGGGCTAGAATACAGACGTTTCTAATGCATTTCGGATCTTTCATACAAAAATCCAACTCTTGGTGTGTTGGTTTTATTGTATCCATATCTAAAAAATAAGTAATGGTGTAATATTTTAAAATAAGTAAAAATAGTTTTTCGAAACATTAAAAATATTGGACAAATATGAGGCAGATGCTGGGAAATTTTAAATTGACTTACTTTAAAACGTGCGTTCCTTTTTTAAAATTTAAATTCAAATTTTTGTCACTCTTATTTTAACCTCAATTTCTACATGTCAATTTTGTTAACTACTCTTCTTTTTATTTTTGTTATATATTGGCACTACTTCTGTGGATATGCAAAGACCGTCTATAGAAAGATTGTCAGGTGAAAAAAGGTAAATAGATGCAAACATTCTGCTTTTGTTTGGCACGGTTTAAATTCCACTACACCGTTCTGTCGGCGATGTGGTGCCCACTGGTGGATATTTTCTTCACCAGCTATTTAGCAGGAGTGAATTACACTCGACATGTGTATAAGGAATAAGGAGGAAGAAAATCAGATAAACAAGAGGTTTTTACTTTGCATCGAAAGTGTAGGACTAGCTACGCCGCTTCTAAAAATATCGTATGGATGGAAGGAAAACACCTAAGGTAAATGAGGTGGTGTAATTTACACTGATGGACACTGCACTAACTGCAATTTACTGGATTTTTACTTTGTGATTTAAATTTTGCTAGACTTAGAATAATTTTTACTTTTTCGTGTTCTTATAATTAACATTATTTTGCCTTAAGTCGATCTTGGAAAAAGTAACAACGGCTACTCAGAACACAAGACATTACGAAAAATCGCAACACAGGGATTCTTATGTGCGAACTCGACACTGCATAGGATTCTCATCATATCGAGACGTCTATCTTCGTTCGACAGACTGCGATCGGCTAGTCTAATGAAATGTCTATCATTACAAATTTCCAGTCTAGTTATTAAAGGTATTTGTTATTATATTTTAGTGGCCTCTTATCTAAAGGTACTTTAGTGTCTGTGTCTGGCCACTTGCTAGTCTTCTTTCTTAATAGATAAAAAATATAACCATGAAAAATTGAAAATAAATGAAAATGGTTCAAATATTTAAAACCATAGAAAATGAGGATTCCAAGCAACAATTTAGTTTAAACATTCAGCTTAACGAAAATTCTATTATTTTACTGGTTATACAAAAACAGAATGCCTGGCAAGTTAATGTAAGTAAAAAACCATTAATAACATCTCAAAACAAAGTATGTTAAATTACAGATTTCTCAGGACAGCGTTGAGAACTTTGCAGATCAATTCAATGTTTCTAATGAAGAATACTACGCAAAGTTAAAGACCTATTTGTTGGAAACACCCAGAAATATAGAATTTAGGTTTATCAAAGGAGAATTTTGTTGTTATTCTAAAGCACAAAATGGAATTAATTTAAAATATTTCTACACAAGACCTCTTAAGGTATATTTAATTTAAATAATTATATCCAAAAATTGTTTGTTTGTTTTTAGATAGAACTCAATTTTAATGAGCTGTTAGAGTTGTATTCATTGGAAGGTGAAAGGCTTAAAAGGGAAAATAAAAGCATTATTAGAGAAAGAGATCAGTTAAAAGAAGGTAATACATTATAAATACAATAGTTTTTTATATTCAAGTTATTTTATTTGCTTCAGTTAATGTAAATCTTGAAAATAAGTTAAAAGAACTTGTCACTAGAAAACTAAAAGATGAGGAAGAACTATACAGTAATTTCGTTTTGGTTCTTAATGAAAAAAAGAGGAGAATTCAGCATTTGAATCAACTTTTACAAGCTTTTAAAGCTGGTAGATCGGTAACGAATCCACAGATCATACCCAAAGGCAGGTCCAAAAAGGAAGTTAAGAAAGAAATAAAAAATGAGGTTTCAGAATCAGATTCAGAAAGTGGAAATGATGGTTACAATACTGACGAGGAGAAGTCAGTAAAAGAAGATACAAACATTGAAAAGCTGTTACCTAGTACATCGAAAAAGCAGAACTTTGATTTGTTTTTTGATGAAGATAATAATATTGATTCACATCTACCAAAACGGACAAAAAATAATAATGTTATTAATGAACCCCTTGAAAGCAAGCCATCGACGTCAAAAAAGCAAGAAGATAAACCAGAAGAAGTGAATATGGAAGTAGAAGAAAACTCTCCACAAGTTGGTTGTAGTACACAAGATTTGTTAGATTGTATTGATTAATTTTTGTAATTATTATTGTATACAAATATTTCCTGTAATTGATTTATATTTTTATTGCAATACATATTTTATATTAATTTAAATTAAGAAAACTTATTTTATATATTTTATACTTAGATATCAAACAAAAATTGGTTTCAAAATAAATGGTTTCATACATCATTTATTGCATTAATTTTTACCTCTTATTTTTTAACTTTGGATTCCTGCAATAAAAAAAATAATACTTTATTTTCTATAAGATAATTGCAATTGTACAAGATTAATCAATATTTATAATTGAAAAAATAAAAGGCTACAACAAATAAGTTATAAATAAATACTAGCTGTTACAAGTGAATTTGCACGCTAAGAGTCGTGTTTTTAATATAAAAAATGCATGACTGCCCAAAAAAGGAGGGATAATATGTTTTTTAGGGTTCATGGTATGTATCATAGAAAAACTAAAATGTATGTATGTGATAACATTAATGGATTAAAGTAGAGTAATTTAATATTTTAGTATAGTAATCTAATTAAGAATCTTTTTGTATACCACATTTCTGGTATGGCTCTCATCTGCTAATATCACCAGTTTGCATGCAAAACTGACTAACAGGTCACATAAAACTATGAGGAACGGAGTCCTTCCCTAGCCTGTCTGCTTGTCAGGACATCGAGATATGTAGTTTTTATTAATTCACTCCTGATATTTTTCATACCAGAGCTTAAGAAGTTCCACTTTGTTTTTAATTATTTATTTTGGTCTAAATTTTATTTATTTTTATTTCATACCATTTCCCCCCCTTAAACTGTGAAAATCTGAAACACGTCATTATTTAATTGTGTTGAGTAGCTACAATTGCAATTTTCAAGTTCCTACCTTTAAAAAACCGATATCTTCATACAAACTTTCAACCTCCGTTTCCCTAGATAGAAGATGAAAATCAAAAGTCCAAAAACCCTGGAATACGTCATTATTTATTTACAATTCCAATTTTCAAGTTCCTATACCTTTAAAAAACTCGATACTCCCTGTAATAGCTCTGCACGTTGGAGCGCCAATTTATAATAGCGTTATTTTGCAATAAAATGTTAATTTCAAAACAATTATAAGGCATGTTGACTAGCTCATAGAAATTTAACACCAAACATTACTTACCTTTAATCAAATTAAAAAAGAAAATAGTTTTCTGGGAGAGAGGGGCGCCAATAATTCTCTTTTTTATTTTTAGAAAGCTAGTGAGAATTATAAACTCTAGCTTTATCAAAAGAAAATTAATTAAAACATATATAATTTAAGTAAAAGAGAATTGTTGTAACCTTTAAAAAATAAGATTCAACATATATATAAATTCAATAATGAATTTGTTTAAGTATATAAAATGATTAAGCATGAATTATTATTTTACAAATTTAAGGAGGTCCTTTCGCCACCATTGTTAAATAAAAAATATTAGATTATGACTAAAATTAATTTTTTTCTAATAGTAGATGTCCTTATTTATCTAATAGTGAACTTTTAACTATACCTTACCGTGCAAATTTTTGAGATTTTTTTTTAAAAATGTGTGTGTTTGTACAGTGTCTTATGAGAAAGTAAGACTTCAACAACAATTTTCGAATTATAATTAATTTTACTATTATTTATTGATTAGATGGAGTAGAAAAAAACTAAAAATAAGGTTTTTGAAATATTTAGGTTTTGTTTTTTACAATAAAATATATAGGTTACCGTGGAATTTATTGAGAAATTGTTATTAAAAAATCACAAAACATTTTCAACTAGGTTACTTGAAATTTTTTTGTGATTTTTTAATATTAATTTCTCAATAAGTTCCACGGTTTACTATATATATTTTATTGTATAAAACAAAATCTAAATATTTCAAAAACCTTATTTTTAGTTTTTTTCTACTCCATCTAATCAATAAAAATTAAAAAAAAAAACCTAAAAACTACAAGCCAGATAGTCCGGAGCACTGAAAGGGGATCAACAGGACATCTTAATACTAATTTGTAGCTTTAGGGTGAGATTACAGAACGTCTGCAACTTTGCAGATCTGCAAATATGGCGGACTTACAGATGCAAGTATTCAAAAAATATCTGCAAATTCGCAATATTTATTACCCCTAACAACACTAAATCCAAATCCACCCTTAAGATAAGGTTAGAATAACATCCTACAAGCATGAAGTATTCTGTTTCTTTTGATTGAATACAGTTCATGGTGTCAGATTATCGAGTTTTTAAACATAGTAATGGATTTGGGTTTAGTGTTGTTGGGGATAATAAACCACAATAAATATTGCGAATTTGCAGAACTTTTTTGGAATACGAAAACTTGATACATGCACATGTAAGTCCGCCATATTTGCAGATCTGCAAAGTTGCCGCCATATTAGCAGATCTGCAAAGTTGCAGACGTTCCGTAATCGGCGTAATCTCACCCTTATTCTAAATTTTCACAGGTAAACAATTCTATTTCCTGGCCTATTATTGCACTTTTACTTTCACCTTGTTTACCAGACAACAAAATATACACGTGAATGTTAAATTGGTTGCCTATCCGCATTCATACTTTCCATCAATTTATTGAAGGACAGTCTATTTTTACGCATTACTTACCTTTTTCCAATAAAACATACCGTTACCGGATACAAATACTAAACAATAACCGATACAAATTATCACATACCACATTTGCATTCTTACATAATCATGTGATATCGTTTTAATTAAAATGGTAATTTAAATTACGCGCCTTTGAAGCCAGCCATTGTCGATTGCGCTGCCACTTTGGCAATACGTCAGTCAAATGAATCAAGTTATAGCGATTGAGGTTTGAGAAGTACGTCGTCCTAAATTTATATATTTTGTGTATAATATTTTGGCTACGAAGGGCTAGTGGACTATTGTTAAGGTGTGCAATATATCGAAAAACAGTTCTTTAACAATCAAGAATCATTTTATAATCGTAGAAAATGAATCCCGAGTAGTAAGTATCGATTTATTTATCATTTTCACCATACCATTTTGACAATAAAGTAGATTTTCTTTATTATAATTACGCAGTAGTTAAATTATTAGAGCTTTCCGTGGTTGATTTTATTTATCTAAAATCCGTATTTTTTTGTTTTAAAGTAATACAGTTGTTAAATTCAGGTGGAATCTTGGTATAAAGTAAAGGATATGTCCACCCACCATTTACCATGATTACAAGTGGAACGTCATCTTATGACATGAGTCAGGTTTTTTAAAAAGGTTTTATTTTTTTAAAACAGTTTTGTCGATAATCCATTTGTAAAATGCAATCGTTATAAAAACAAAGAAATGTCTAATGAGAAAAATAATTATTTTCTTAATTCTGTTAAAAGTTACATATTCATTTGTATGTTTGAAAGTCTTTGTCTTCCTCTTCTATTATATAAATATTGTTAAATTCATATACATACTACAATACACCTTATTGCTAGTATTGTAAAATGGATATTATTAAACCTTGGACTTATTACTCATTTGCAATAGTCGAATTAAACTGAACATGTTAATATTGAATCTATAAATGATGTCAAAATCTTTGCATATTTAATTAAGAAAAAAAAAAAGGTATTTACAATTGTAATAAAGTTGTTACTTTGGAACTATCTTTGTATTGTGCTATTAGCTTCTTAGAATAAATAATACTGATATGTTTGTTGCATTTGAATGGAGAAGACATGTTTACTTTTACAAAGATAGTATTTGTGTCTATAAATATTTTTAATTGCCTGACCTGGTACTTTAGGGTATAAGATATTTGGAAAGAGTGATTAGATACATTTTGAAGAAAAATTCCCTTTCCTTATGTACCAAGAACAAAATGTAATAGAATCTATTAATATAGGTAAACAAATCCTTAAAACCTCATTAAAATAATGATATAAAATTACTACCTAAGCATTTTCTAAATGGCTAATATAATAAATAATATTTATGTTATAAAAGAAATGTACTAGCAAAACAAGAACAAAGCATGTAAAGACCCTAAACATTTACTTTACACATATTAGCAATATACCTAGATGGTGTTCATTAATATATAGAAATAATCATATTTTCTTGTACATTTCTTATATAATTTGGTGATTTACCTAAATATTATTTTCTTTAATCAAAATTTGGCAAATAAATTAATTTTTTTTATTGTAGATTCTATAAATAATTGAGGAAAATTGAATTCTTGTTTATAAAGACAGTAAATAAGAAAGAAATTCCATAAAAATAAAAGGATATTTTAAATATGAAAACAATTAAAAGTATCATAAAATTTGATTTTTAATAAGAATCCTTTAAAATATTCAAGAAGTGTGTGATGAAACATTGAAAAATGTGTTTTTAGATGTTTGAAAACCAAACTGGAAAGTTGATAATTTTATATCAAAAAATTTTGCATTCTTTTTATTCTTCTTTTCAACAATTTATTGTGAAACATGTCATGGTAATTAAAATTATATACCTAAAAAAAATTAGAAAAAAAAACATACCTAACAAAAACATGAATTATTATATAAAATATTCTATGGAATAGCAGTTTTTCTCTAATAAAAGATTTTTTACATTAGACTTAAAAGTGAAGAGATTACTGTTGTTCTTTATGCCCTCTGGAAGGATATTATAAAATTTATAACCCATATACTCTAGATTCTTTTCTAAAAGTCCGTACGGTGTCTAGGTGTTAGTAATTGGCTTTTGTTTCTTGTGTTATACTCATGAGAAGCAAGCTCGGCAACATATATTGATCTGTTCTTATGAATGTAAGTACATGCTTCTAATATATATACCCCAGCCAGTGTCAAAATTTTAAATTATTTAAAAAACCACATGAATCTCTTATTCTCAGTATCGCAATAATTCTTATGACATATTTTTGAATAACAAAAACTTTGCTTGGTAGAACAGGTACCCCAATTAAGTATGCCATATTTCAAATGAGAGTGAAAATTTGCGTGATACACTGTTAACAGTGTCCTTTTACTACAATGATTGGCAAGAAATCTAAGACTATATCAACTTTTTTGTAATTTATTACACAGGTTATTAATATGTGAATTCCAGATTATGCCATAATTAATAGTGATTCCTAATATTTTAATATTTTCTTCAGATATAATTGGATTATTAGTGTTTTCAAATAATTGGTTTTTTATAAATTGTCCATTATTATTAAATAACATTATATTAGTTTTAGTTTTGTTTAATTTTATGTTATTTTTTTCCGACCATGATAAAACTTGATTTTATTCTCTCTGTTGCTATTTTTAGTGCATATGTATTATTTTCGATAATTAAAATATCTGTGTCATCAGCATAACAAGTTGGGTATATTCCAGGAATAGCATTCAAGGAAGTGATTAGGTCGTTAGCAAAAACTAAAAATAAAAATGGACCCAAAATCGATCCTTGGGGAACTCCTTGTGAAACTTCCAGCTCCAAACTAGGAACATTATTCACTTGAACAATTTGTCTTCTATTTGATAAATATGATTCCAATAAGTCAAGTGGTAACCCATATTTAGACAGCTTAAGCAGTAAAAGTTTATGTTCTACACAGTCAAAAGCTTTAGAAAAATCAATAAACAAACCCATTATATGCTCTATCATTGCAGTCTCTACTCTTTTTTGAAGTATAACCATGTTGTGATGGCGATAACAGCTTAAACTTAGTGAAAAAATTACATAATTGATTTTTTATATCGATGGCCTAGAAGCAATACCTTGTAAGTACAAAATCTGTAAATAAAAGCAATAACATATAAGTGCTTTAAAAAAAATTGAAAAAAGGATTCAAGGACCAACACAGTAAAAATGCCACACATGATATTGTATGTAACTTTTTGAAACAATTGATTAATAAATAATATATTTATACAATAATATTATAACGGTTTTTCTTCATAACCACAAATTTTGGAAGATGTACTTACGTGTTATTGCTTCTAGGCCATCGATATTCAACTTATATACTTTGGAAAAGTTGACAAGATACTTATTGGTCTATAGTTATAAAGATCTTCCTTTTTGTAAATGGGAACTACTTTAGCTAGTTTTAAAGAATCTGGAAAAATACCTTTCTCAGTTGATAAATTCAACAAAAAACTCAATGGTGTGTTCAATAGAGCAACACACTTTTTAATTAACTTATTATTTAAGCCATTAGTGCTAACTGAAATAGTGTTTTTTAAAGACTGTATTAATTTTAAAACATCCTCATCTGAAACAGGAGCCATATAATATGTTTTATTATTAGATGTAATATTTTTATTTAAAAATTCTAAAAATTCTACGTTACAAACTAAGCTATCTACGGGGCGTTCAGTGAAATTAATATTAAATTTATTTGCCAAGTCAGAATCACTTATCTGGTTACCCTGATCATATAATGTTAAGTTGGTTATTTTATTTATTGTTCCCTTTTTGCAATTGCCCAATCACTTCCCAGGTAGCTTTAGTCTTATTTTCACTATTTTCAGAGCTTTAAATGAGATCATCAAAGTATTGCTTAGAGGCCTGTTCTAACCTAAGCTTATAAGTATTATTTAACATTTTACTAATTTCAAGATATCGTCGATCGTGCTTAGCAAGAGTATTATATTACATTATTTTTTAATTCCAATAAATTTGCATTCCACCTATAGTTATTATTAGGCTTTTTATTTTTAGTTTTGGGTCTTCGTGCAACTAACTTTTTTGGAAAGACAGTTTCAAAATAGGATAAAAAAAATTCCGCAAATAGATCATAAGCTAAATTGGGTCAGGTCTGATCCAAAACACTAGTTAAATCTTCAGCCCCTAATAGATTATGAAAATGTTCTATGTTATTTTCAGAATATGAACGCGAGACATATTTAAAGGCTGGTTTTCTGTTTTTTTTTTTTTTTTGAGATAAATTCCTAGTGTTGACATCTATAAATTGAGAATAGTGATCAGATAGACAAAGGTCTACCACTTCTACACTGTACTGATTAGATGTTCTAACAAATATATTATCAATGCAAGTTGCAGAGTCTTTTGTAACTCTAGTTGGAGTTCTTACACATATTTCAATATTAAAATTATACAATAAATCTTCTAATAAAGAAAGTTGAGTACTGGGTTTCATAAAATTTACATTAAAATCTCCTCCAATAATTATATTGTATTTGGAGTGAGGGTAGCCATATGTGAGTAGTAGGGATTATGTATATTGTAGTTGTTTTCTGAACATACATAGATTAAAATTTGGTTTAAAACTAACATAAAATCACTAAAATTTCCTCCAGAGGGACTCTAAATCATTAACCAAATCATCTTATATAGAGGTAATTGTATACCACAACATTCTAAAATGTTTTCATTAAAAAATTGTTTGATACCATACTCATTCACTGTTCCAGAGAAATTGTCATTTTTATATATGGCTACTCCACCATGAGTAGTTACAGACCAACACATATCCGTAACTAATGTAAACTGGTTTAGTTTATATTCTTGAATGGCATTTCTTACTTGCCAATGTTCAGAGATCATTAAAAAATCACAATAAAAATTATTAGCAAATATGTCATTTAGCATTAAAATCTTATTATTACTAATACATTGAATATTTTGTTGCACAAAAGTTAAATAGTTAATGGGATTTATAGTTTTATTTGTTATTCTACTATTATGTTTCCTTGATCTGATCCTAAAAAATTAATAACTGAATTTGTATAAAAATTAGATTTTTCTGGAAATGTTTGAATTTAGGCTTTAAGTTAACAATTCTTTAAGCTATTTCATATTTCTTTAAATTAACCTCTTTATAACTATTTAGATCTCACGGTGCTTGGGAACCAACTTTAAATGAAAAGCTTATTTATTAGACTTTTTTTTCGGTCAAAGCATTTCTGAAGGGCTATAGATTGGCGCAATATATTTTTTAAAATCGGTTCCAGCAGCCGTTTTTGAGAAAACTCGATTTTTAATGAAAAAGTGACCTTTTTTTTTACTTTTTTGCTTGTAACTTGCGCATTTCACATTTTCTCGGCTTGCCAAAAGTAAATTTCAATGGGAAAATGTCCGCTCTACAAAAAAGCATCAATGAATTTTTGCTCTAAAATCAGCCGATTTTGAGTTAAATGAGATCTCAAATCGGCTGATTTTAGAGAAAAAAGTCATTGATGCTTTTTTGTAGAGTGGACATTTTCCCATTGAAATTTACTTTTGGCAAGCCGAGAAAATGTGAAATGCGCAAGTTACAAGCAAAAAAGTAAAAAAAAGGTCACTTTTTCATGAAAAATCAAGTTTTCTCAAAAACGGCTGCTGGAACCGATTTTAAAAAATATATGGCGCCAATCTATAGTCCTTCAGAAAAACTTTGACCGAAAAAAAAGTCCAGTAAATAAACTTTTCATTTAAAGTTGGTTCCCAAGCACCGTGATCTAGAAAAGATATTTCACCCTCTATACTTTTAAATCAACTTTCTATTGTACAGATGTTAATATTATACATAACTAGTTATCAGAATGAAAATATGATTTCCTTATTAGTTAAATATTTAAAATTGAAATCAATAATTATTTTGCTTGACGAAACAACAGGTTTCACTTTAATGTTCAATTACATTTTTTATGTTTTACCCATAATTATTTTTGCTACGGCAAAATAACGATAGTTCTAATGAACATTGTTGGCAAATTTGTTTTATATTTGGTAAGTAGTTGAAATATTTTTATTTTTCAGTGACTACTTATTCAAACTTCTTCTTATTGGCGACTCTGGTGTAGGAAAATCATGTTTATTATTGAGATTTGCAGTAAGTATACACTTTAAATTTTAAATAAAATATCACCATTAAACAATTATCATTTACAAATAAATAAAATGGTTTTGTTTCATTTCTATATCTGGGTTAGTTTGAACACTAGGTACATTTATGTGGAGATAATTGGCACTCTCTATAGATTATAATTTATGGAGAGATGTGAAATTTTATCTTAACCAAAATCTCTTGATAAGCCTATATTTTAGCTTGGTAGAATCTATTCTACGTTATGGTATACTAGTATGGGGAGGCCTATATGAAACAACCCTTAGACCACTAAATGTCACACAAAATAAAATACTGAAAATTATTTTCAACAAACAGTGATTATATTCTACTACTCTACTATAAAATGAAACAATATCTAATGTTAAAAGTTTATACATGAACACAATATGCTGTTACATACAAAAACATGAGGTACTAAAAAACCTCTGGGTCATCAATACAAAACCAGAACCTCTAGTAACTTGAATATTAAAATATCTATGCCTAATAGTGAATCTTTCAAGAATTGTATAAATTACTTTTAATGCTTTACCTCTTGAGATCAAATTAACAAACATTTAAGAAAGCATACAAATCCTTCATCTTCCAAAACTACTCAAAATTGTATAGATTCTTTTTAGAATAACACACATCTCACTGTAATATGTTGAAACCCTGTAGATTATAAGATTATTGCATTATTTTAACATTATTACATATACAGGGTAGCTGTTAAAGATGGAACCAAACCTATAGTGCTTAAACGGTTCAACATACAAAACCCAAAATTTCAGAATTTCAACTAAATATATTTGCGCATATTTTAGCCCAAAAATTATTTTTTTTATAATTACAAAATTTTAAGTATGGCCGCCATCTTGATTTTTTTAAATAGCAACATTGGTCATGTGATATACCATTTAAAAGGGTTTAACATCCTGATTACAAAAATCTATCACACATGGGGTCTAAACACAAATGCACAGCCTCCTACGCTCCCTATTAATAATATCCTTTGTGTTGTGTTAGATCTCTGTTTCTGTGTTTATTTTTGTAGGAATTTACCATTTGTTTCCGTGAATACCTTAATTGGCCACTAATTGTCACAGTTATCCTTAATTCGGGCATTTTTGAAAATTTGTTGTTTATGAAATAAAGTCTTCAATTACGAATACATTTTTTTGTTTTAACTATCTTTAAAATTTCCTGTTCCTAGGGAAACATTTTGTTTGTATTAAACTCTTTTGAACTTGAAATATTAAATGATCAATTTTTATAAACAATTTACAGATTTCAAAATATTGATATTTATAAAACTATTTTCTCACGGTTTATTATTGTATTATAATCACATTTTATTAATAAAACTAATGATAGAGATTTATTGTTTACAAGTAAAAATGAGTTAAATAATGTTTAGATGTTTTAGAAATGCATTGTATTTAACGTTATGGTCGATTCTTTTATTCCTGCTCTGTAATTGGGATTGCCTGTAGAGCATTGTAATAAATAAATAAATAAATAAATAAATAAAATAAAAACATGATGCATTAGCATTAATAAAAACCTCGTAAATGAAAATGTAAACACATTTTTTTTTTTAATTTTAGGATGATACTTACACGGAAAGTTATATTAGTACCATTGGAGTAGATTTTGTAAGTACATCATTGTTGTGTTTAGGAAAATAACTGATTTTCAATTTTTTTTTTGTAGAAAATCAGAACAATCGACTTAGATGGAAAAACTATTAAATTGCAAATTGTAAGTATATTTATTATTAGCATGTTATCATGTTAAGTGCTTTATAAATTAGCATATTTTTTTATTTAATACCTTTAATACTTTACTTTATCTAATAATTTTTTAATATTTTTTAAATTCCCTTTTAAATTCCCTTTTAAATAATTTTTTAATACTTTTTTTAGTCTTTTGAATACTTTTTTAAATAATTTTTTAAATACCTTTTTAATTCTTTTATATACTTTTTTAATGCTCTTTGGTACCTTTTATTACTTTTTAAATACTTTTTAAATACTTTTTAAATACTTTTTAAATACTTTTTAAATACTTTTTAAATACTTTTTAAATACTTTTTAAATACTTTTTAAATACTTTTTAAATACTTTTTAAATACTTTTTAAATACTTTTTAAATACTTTTTAAATACTTTTTAAATACTTTTTAAATACTTTTTAAATACTTTTTAAATACTTTTTAAATACTTTTTAAATACTTTTTAAATACTTTTTAAATACTTTTTAAATACTTTTTAAATAATTTTTAAATACTTTTTAAATACTTTTTAAATACTTTTTAAATACTTTTTAAATACTTTTTAAATACTTTTTAAATACTTTTTAAATACTTTTTAAATACTTTTTAAATACTTTTTAAATACTTTTTAAATACTTTTTAAATACTTTTTAAATACTTTTTAAATACTTTTTAAATACTTTTTAAATACTTTTTAAATACTTTTTAAATACTTTTAAATACTTTTTAAATACTTTTTAAATACTTTTTAAATACTTTTTAAATACTTTTTAAATACTTTTTAAATACTTTTTAAATACTTTTTAAATACTTTTTAAATACTTTTTAAATACTTTTTAAATACTTTTTAAATACTTTTTAAATACTTTTTAAATACTTTTTAAATGCTTTTTAAATGCTTTTTAAATGCTTTTTAAATGCTTTTTAAATACTTTTTAAATACTTTTTAAATACTTTTTAAATACTTTTTAAATACTTTTTAAATACTTTTTAAATACTTTTTAAATACTTTTTAAATACTTTTTAAATACCTTTTAAATACTTTTTAAATACTTTTTAAATACTTTTTAAATACTTTTTAAATACTTTTTAAATACTTTTTAAATACTTTTTAAATACTTTTTAAATACTTTTTAAATACTTTTTAAATACTTTTTAAATACTTTTTAAATACTTTTTAAATACTTTTTAAATACTTTTTAAATACTTTTTAAATACTTTTTAAATACTTTTTAAATACTTTTTAAATACTTTTTAAATACTTTTTAAATACTTTTTAAATACTTTTTAAATACTTTATTTTTTAATATTTTTTAATATATTTTTAAACTTTTTTTTAAACTTTTTTTAAAACTTTTTTAAACTTTTTTTTAAACTTTTTTGTACTTTTTATACTTTTTATACTTTGTGTTTTATACTTTTTTGATACTTTCTTATACTTATTTTTTTTTTATTTTTTTATACTTTTTTCAATTATTTCTTTAAATATTTCTTTAATTATATCTTTAATTATTTCATTAATTATATCGTTAATACTTTTTAATAGTTATATTTTTCAATATTATTTTTTAATTCTAGTGGGACACTGCAGGGCAAGAAAGATTTAGAACCATTACCTCGAGTTACTACAGGGGGGCGCACGGTATCATTGTAGTGTACGATTGCACGGACCAAGATTCATTTAACAACGTTAAACAATGGCTGGAAGAAATCGACCGTTACGCATGCGATAACGTAAACAAATTACTTGTAGGGAATAAAAGTGATCTTACGACTAAGAAAGTTGTCGATTTCAACACGGCCAAGGTAAGTTTTTATTATTAAAATTAGTACTGCCGATTAGCTGCTTTTAAAGTTGCAGTAAAAATGAATAATGGATATCACTGATTTTTATTTTATTTGATATTATTTTTTTATTTCAATATATCACACTTAAAAGATTATCACAAGCTCAGCCTGTTCAGAGAGTTTTTAAATTTGTTTTTGATGTCTAGGGTTACGATTTCATGCATATTTAACTGTTTAAATAAGATTTTGCGACGATATGTTATTATTTACGATTTTTTTTGCAGGAATACGCTGATCAGTTAGGTATCCCATTTTTGGAGACGTCGGCGAAGAACGCCACGAACGTAGAGCAGGCCTTTATGACAATGGCGGCCGAAATAAAAAATAGAGTAGGACCCCCATCATCTGCCGCAGACCAAGGAAATAAAGTTAGGTTCGATCAAAGTCGTCCAGTCGAAACTACCAAATCTGGATGTTGCTGAAAATATTTCTTTCTCCTTGGTAAGTAAGCCAAACAAAAAAATACTACTTTGTTATTATAACATTTATGAATCTAAAAAAAATTAAAAAAGTCAAAAAATCAGTGAATTTCAATTTTAAAATGTTTATTTTGTATATTTTATACAGTGTGTGCCATAAAGTTGGATACGTATGGGAATTATTTTAGGATTGTGATTGGAACAAAACGTTGTAGAGCATTATTAACAAAAAATTATATGGTATTGTTATCATCTCCTTCCTTTTAAGCTTTAAGCGTGTATTAAAAAATTAAAAAATACTTTTCTTAAAGTCGGAATATCTCGTTTAAAATCGGTATGTTGACATAAAATGTCATTAGAAATAAGCTCCCCTAATAACTTTTTCGTATTATTAAAAAAAGGCGTTTTTTTCAATCATAATATTAAAAAGAATCCCATATGGATCTAGCACACACTGTATATATTTTATACATTTTGTTACTTGTTTTTTATGCATGTATTTATAATTTCAAAATTATTTTTTGAAAATATTAAGTGTTATGTGATTTACCTTCTTTATATACCAAATTTTCTAAGATTTTCCTGTTTCTTCTCATTTCTCAATTTCTATTGTTTCCCGCCAATTCTTCCTTTTCTATTGTCCTCACTAATCCTCAATTATTACTAAATAATAATTGTAGTTTCGCTTGAGGACCAAATAATATCAAACATTTTACCTTACATTAAACTATTGATGTTTTATGTAAAAATATTTTTGAAACAATAATACCCAAGTCTGACCTTCCCATTTTCTTCTTTCCTTGTTCTAAAAAATATTCCTCCTTCAAACTAATAGCGTTTTCGATTCTAATGCGCGGCTTGCACTGAGTGCATTCGAAAGGTGGGAAATATGTCTGAAATGTAACCGGTATCGATATATCGCTCATCTTTTATGTGCACTCCACGGAGGCAGGGCAGTAGAATCGAAAACGTTATAAGTATAATAGCTGAATCAACTTTAAATCATTTACTGCGTTTTGTAACGACTGTTGTTGTCATTAAAGCTCATTAATAAGGGTCGTCCATTAGGCTCTAGGATGTAATAACTCAATTACCCTGAAATTAGGGTTGGGCACCACCGTATTTGAATTTGCATCTCTAAGTATAAAAGTAATTGATAAAAATTTAGAAACAAAAATTACTAATAAATTTTAATGCAAATAAAGGATATGCATTCAAAAGATACGGTAAAACATTCAAAAGATACGGTAAAAACCAAATTCTAATCTACAAGAGTTTCTAATAATAACATGACTTAAAGTATTTCTGAATAGTACTTGGTATAAAGTAAAATTGACATATCTCAATAAGGTAGGGCTTCATCAAGGGGGTAAAATAGGTCTCATCTACGATGAAAGGTCTCATCTGTCGTTTTCTCTAATATTCAAATCAGTAAACATGTTTAGTCTACAAAACAGTCCATTATCCTTTCTTAGATCCTCAAGACGTTAATTACTATCCAAATCAGCAAATCCTTGTAGCCTCCAAATAGTTCAGCCTTCTAGACGTCAATCATTCTTCATATTATCAAGAAAAGAACATTCAACTCATTCTTCATATTACTAAGTAAAAAAAACATCCAAATGTTGCCAAGCTAAAAGATTTCGACCTTAATTGATAAATCGGATAGAAAGGACGGATGAGACGAACGTTTTGAATAATAAAATAATATATCTATTTCTTTACAGAAACTAACAAATTCAAAGCGTGTCGTCTCACAAAAAAACAACCTCAAAAAGTTGAACATATAAATCCCGTGTAATCTATGTAATCATTGTATAAAACAAAAAAATATTAAATTTAACACTTACCATATTTAATTTAATGATTTTTAAAAACAAAAATGCCTTACTCAATCAGCGGATCACCATGATTTATATAAATTCGTCTTCTCAACTCTAAATTTTGAAAGACAATCAAAAATGAATCTTGATTGACAGACAGAATTGTCATTTTAAGGAAAGATGGGACAATAGAGGCGTTCGAAAAAATAACGGTATGAAAGATATATTGTTATAGTTTTTTAAACATCCATTTCTCTTGTTTCGCGCCAATTTTTCTTTTTTTTTGCGTTTCTTCTCATTTTTTCTTTTCTCTTTTCCTTCTCCCAAAGAAAATTCTTGCTTTAAACTATGTATAGGGACTGAATCGACAGTGAACCATTTTTTTACCACCATATGAGTGGCTCAGTGCCAGAGTTGCCTAACCAACAAAATTTTCAAAAACCTTTTTTCGTATATTATTTAAAAATAATTTCTCTGCCTGCTAAAATTACCTATTCCTTAAAGTTATTCGTTTTTAGTGCCAATATCTATACCTAAAGATTAGGCAGTAATGTTTAGTAGACAGGTAACGTGCTTTGATCTCTATTTACTCACTTTTAATAAATTGTTGGTTAAGCAACTCTGACATCGAACTACTCATATATTAGAGAGTTGAAGTATTTCCAGTACGTTAACGTCAACGCAGAAATATAATGTTTACATTGAAGTCCAAAATCTTAGTTGAAGTTGTTAAACGCATCGTGACATTTACGTGTCATGACAGATAATGACAATTAATATCAGTATTTCTTCTTTCCCAATTAAAATGAGGTTATTTTGTTTGCGTTACGAACATACGCCACAGTCCGTAGGTTTACGTAAAGTACGTAGACGTGAACGTGAAGGATATTTAAATGCGCATGCGTAGATGTCAATTTTCACGTATACGTTTACGTTCATAGCATCACTTCAACTCTCCATTCTCCTTAACATCTTTCCCATATTCCCAGTTCGATTTGAAAATGTAGGGTCATGTTTTTTTTTTGGCTATGTTACTAGGAACAATTTTAAATGTATTTAACTAATTGGAAAATTTTGATTCTTTTGTGCATAAAATGAACATCTGAGCAAAAAAGTTGTAAACATATCTCAACTTTTTAATTCCTTTGTGCCTAATAAATATCTGAACAAAAAAAGTATGAATATATCTGAAATAGTCTTGGAAAATAAAAATGTAGGTACTACAAAAGCCTTACTTTATCCTAGATGAATTAAATACACACGTGGCTTTACTAAAATTGATCCAGAAAATATCTCAAATTGATTTTGTTCCACCAAGAAAGTAATTTAACACAAAATTATATTGAAGTTAGAATCACAACACCCTATGACTGTTTGCAAAATACTATTAATAGTGGAAATATTTAGGCCTTCTGCAACACGTTAAAACAGAAAATAAATCAATTTCATGTTTCTAGACATTTCTATAACCTTTAATTTACTACTCTTACAACAGTTAAGGGTATAGTGGCCCTTCATTATCATGCTCTCATTTAAAATATTTTGTTAATGTATTAATGAAGGTACAAGCTTCTTACGACTATTTAGTTTTTTTGGCATTTTGTACATAACCATTTCAAGCTTAGGGATCCGTTAAATCATATTAGAAAAGTGTACCTTAGAGTAAAAAATTCGTATCGCCAGTTTTTTATTAAGTGAACATATAATATTCTTCAAACCGTCCCTGTTTAAGCCGTCTGTGTTCAAGAAATGCACATTTTCTATTCTATGAATAACAATTTCATCTCGTACAAGCTTAATATATTTTCTGCAAAACGTGATGAATGTCACGTACACTAGTACAACCCAGATCCTCTCATCTCGCTCAAGATACAGACAAGCTAAATATATTTTCTGCAAGACACGATGAATGTCATGTACACAAGTACGACCCAAATCCAAAATGTATTTTGTTATATAGGGTGATTCGGGAGGAACTGACAATATTTTAAAGCCAAAATAGGCCAAATAAGATACTCCTTTAGCTGACATGGCTCCCCAAATCATAACAGAAGCCGGAAACTTAACTTTCTTTCTAAGACAGTCATTCTGAAACACTTCTTCTTTTGTTCTTATGACACGACTCCTACAATCAACAATGCATACTTTAAATCTGTCTTCATTATTCCAAATGACCATAACTATTGTTCTTTGCCCACGCTACTGGGCCTTAAGATAAATTCACAAATATCATGTTTTGTGAGGTTGGGCTAACTTCTCTGAGACAGGGGTCATATATTTTTTATATATCCCTGTTAACTGTAATAGTCTTTTGAGATGATAGTAATAATGGTTCAACATCTAATACATATTTGACATATTTATCTTTATGCCACACGAGTTTAGTAACTCGATTTTTAAAATTGGATTATTGAATTTAATATTTTTCTTAGTCAATCTGCAATCTGGGCTTTTCTTCATTTGGTGGTTGGTAACTGTTCTACACGCCGGCTGTGTTATGGAGCGTTATCCATAACAATAACAGATCTTAGTTCGATTTTTAAAAGAATATCTGAAAATCATTTTTCATAATATTCTGCATCCATTTCCTCATGATAATCTCCAGTCTTTTTAGAAACAAATGCGTTTATACCTTCTTCAACAAATCCTGAGTTGCTATCAATATGGGTAATAATAAGGCGTTTTCCCTTTCCAGATGGGCTTTTAAACCTGTCTATAAACCATCTACAAAAGCTTGATGTTTGTTTATTACATTTAAGTCCTGCCAAATTTTTGTCACATTATGTCCTTCATTTAACCAGGTTTCATCTATGTAACATATTTTTCTGCCACCTCTTCGAAACTCTGCTATTGTTTTCAGATATTTTCTGCGCCATAAAATGATTTTCTCTTTTTTAATAAGGGTACTATTCTTCTTTTTCTTTAAATACCTGAAGTTCATTTCACGCAAAGTACGTAATAAAGCACGTCTTGATATGTTTGGGAGATTTTCATTAGATTGAAGAGAGGAAGCAATTTTATTTGCAGTTAGTAATTCCTTTTTAATATAAAATGCATGTACTGCACGACGAATGACTTGTTTGGTTACATCTTCCAATTTTATTTTTTTTTTTCTTCCTCTAGTCTCAGCCTTCGAAGTATTAATATCGTTTGTTTCATCCCTTGTTTATAAACGTAAAATAGCCTTCCACTAATATTAGAGAGATACGGTTATACTTAACCTCTCTATTACAAAAAATCAGCGTGCCTATGACGCTGCTTCGACGATAACATCCAAAAGGCGTTGTTGCCAATAATGTCGCTTTAATCTGCGACGACAGTGTGGATCTCGGACATTATCTACCGTTAGATAAAGATGCAAACTACAAGCTGACAACGTTCCATTTTACCTCGAACTTTTAATCGCTTGGAAGACGTTTGAACAGTTTAAAAATAGACCAGTCAAATTATTAAAATTATTTCAACAAAATGATATCTGTTTTTGAAGGTAAATAATAAACAAATGAATTAGTTATTCAAAAATTTATAGATAGCGATCTTCTCAATTTTTTTGAAACTATCTGAACGTATATATAGTCTTTAAGTAGAAGAAAAAGATTTTAGAAGAAGGTTTTTGTAAATTTGTAAGAGATTAAATATATTTTGTAATACCCCACTAATTTGTTTATTAATTAATACTGAATATTTTTTCTTTTGTCGGTATTCAAAAAATTAACAACTATTAAAAATAACTTTTTTGTACAGGGTAAACGTCTAATTTGATTGGCCTATAAAATTTCTTTACAACATGAGTCACTATCTACAATTGTGGTATTCTACTATACCTAGTTATTTATTATTTTTAGTTTTTTTTTTAATAATCATAGATAAAATAATTAATTATGAATTTTCTTTGGTTACAGGTTGAAAGGTGGTCACTCATGTCATCTCTTCTGTACAGTAGCACAGCTACCATTCTTATTATAGTAATATCCGTCTGTATGTATAGTTATTTCAAAAACTTTTTATTTGATTCTTTTTTTAAATTTATAGATTTTTGTTTGTTTTTAATTTATCGAAAATTTAAATATAGAAGACACCAATATCTCTTAGCCTAATCTTAACTTTTTCAATTTAGCTAAACAATCCGCAACGACCTATTTATTAACAATTTTCCCGGAGAAAAACAAATGAAAATAGAGAGAGAAAAAACTTTTTCTTTTTTTTTTAGAATAACTTAGAAACGAGGAATACACATAACTTATAAGTTAAGTCGCCTGATTGTTATATACATATATTATTATTTTTATTTCGGTGTGTCTTTCCCGTTTTTATAACACTAGGTGGTTTTTGTTGGTCCAAATATTTTAAATATATCGCTAATGTTTATATGGCAGCGCGCAGCCGAAATTTCGGCGCAAACAATTTTTCATCGATATCAATTTTTTTTATTATAAAATAATGAGAATTAAAAAAAAATCATTCCTTTACTCTTTTTTCGTCTTATTAATCTATACTGCAAAAATAATCAATGTTGCGTTTTAAAGATAGGTTTACATTACGCGATTAGGAACGCGCTGGCGTGTATCGAATGCGATTGGTGACATGTCGATCCTTCTTTATTCTTCTTTCGACTTCTGTATCTCTAAGGACGAATGGGTTAAAATTGCCCCAGAGCACTTAAACCTCGGCTTGTCAAAAGTCTGCTGATTGTTCATCCACACTGCAAAAATAACTAAAACGCCCTTCAAATGCTTGGATGGCGACCTGAAGGTTTATATTGAGTTACATTTCTGGTGGGTTGATTACCGATTTGGTCCATTTTCAGACATGTTTTGTTTCGTAGCAGCCTCACGTCGAAATCATGCTCTTAACAGTACGATGCAAATCGCATCGTGTGATCCGGCGCTAAGTCTTTAGTACGGACACTTAGAGAAAATAATTATTTATGTTTTTGTTAATAAAATGGTTAGTGTTTTTAAAAACAAAATTGGTTGAGAAAAGGAGGACCAATTTAATGTAATTTTTCGGCTTTTTAACGCAAATTTGTAGTTTTTATTGCAAATTTGTCGTTTTTAATGCAAACTTTGTAGTTTTTAATACATACAACTGAATGTCACTCTACCGGATAATCCAGTATTAGACACACCATTTAATACGAATTCAGGAATGAATTATGCACGTTACAAACGATTGAGCGTGTCCAGCCACGCGATGCGAATCGCATGGTGTGATCGGGCCTTAAAACGCTGGTATAGGCAGTTAAAAGAAAATGAATTGTGCAGATAAAAATGAAAGAAGTTATTTTTTAATTCTTGATTGAAGTCGTAAGCGTTTATAAGAAATTTCGACAAAATAAAATGGGTTGAAACCTAAGGACCAATATTAGTTAAATGTCGTGCGTTTTGCGTCCTGATTTGTTCCGTCTTCATTACTACTTTAATTCGTAGCTTCGAAATGTCAATTTCTGATGATAGCGATGAAAAATTTTTTGTTTTGGGATTTCGGCCGGCCGCTGTACATACTAGGAATTTTGTTATTTTTTTACATATTATTATTTTTCATTATCATCTTGTCGGGTTAGAGAGAGTCATCGCTCTTTTAACGTATCATCTAAATAAATGAATAAACATTGAAAAAAATGTGTAAGGATTATGGATAATATGTGATTCTTTTGGTCAATATTTTTTTTGTAAATTAAAAGTTATTCCGAACTGAATTTTGTATGTTATTATTATTATGTCCCTGTGTGGAAGAACCGATAAATATATTTGATGCACTATGAATTAGTCCAGCACAAGGTTCCGTTTTTCCGATGATTTTTTCTTTTTAGCGAATTAATTTCTTCGAGATGGAGAAATATCAAAATTTGTTCAGGCTGAAACCTAGATAATGAACTTTTTTACAATTTAAGGTATTGTTCATTGTAAAGGAATTCAATTTTTTGTAGTTAATATTTGTATAAGAATTGTAAACTATAAATAAATCCATAAAAAAATGTTTTTTGTGTTATTTTTAACAATTTCGTTTGTAATTATTTTATATAGTAAGCAGTAAGTAACCCGAGTTAAAGTGGAACCAGAAATATTGTAAATAGTCTGGTTCACAAGTGCCATTTCCCTCGAAACCTGTCCTCCAGCACCGAAAATTATGATTTTGGGCTCATTCGATTCGGAATGGCATCTAGAACATTCTATCAAAATTCCAAGAGGGGCTGAAAAAAAAAATGCAAAAGTTATAAACAATAAAGTAAAATAAAAAATAAGGGTATGGTTTTTTTGAAATATTTCAAAAACTATTTGAGATAATCGAAATTTGAAAAAAGATCCTTAAAGAGCAGGAAATTTCCTAAAAAAAAGTCCTACCTCCCGGAACTGTACCAACAACCCTTATAATTTTAATTAAGCGGCGAATATAACGGTAAAAACGCGTGGTTCGGCTGCCGCGCGCATCGCCCCAATCTGACACATGAACTAAAAAAATTATTTTAACTGATTAAATATTAATATTAAGGAATAAAAAAATTTGGGTACTAAGTAGACATATGAATAAACAATAATCCGTAAACAAATAGTATATTATTAAACGAGCAATTCATGGTAGCCATTATTCACGCAGGGTGACGTTTGCGTTCCGAGCCGTAGGAGAGGGGCGCAAGTCACTCGAGTGAATAATGGCCATAAATTGCGAGTCTAATACTATACTTTGTCCACGACCATTATGGTTTCTTTATTAAATAAAAGTTAAGTGTAGAATGGAAAGTTTTTATTAAACATAGGTAACTAACTGTTGTTTTTTTCACTTTTCAATTTTTTGATTTATCGATTTTTTGATTTGATTTTTCAATCTAGAAAATATCGTTATGAAAAGTATCGCCTATCTTTAGTTATCTACCGGAATGTGCCAGAATTACAAAAGCGTGAATTATCATAATTCACTCCGTGATATATGAGTACTATATGCTTTTAGTTAGGAGGTAGAATATTGATTTATTATTAAGTGGTCGTGGACAAAAATTTTTATCACTATTTTTTTATTAATTATGCTTTTGTTAATTAGTTAATTTTTACCATTTTAATGTTAACATAAAAACGCTGATTATTTCAAAACAAGAAATCTAGAATTTTTTTTGATTTTTTTGAGCTATTGTTAAAAGGGTTTAGAAGAGATCCTCGTTGGAAAAATTCAAAAATTTTGATTTTTCACTTCATTATTAACAATCAAAGGCATTAAAAAAATTATATACAGGGTGGCTCACGCTCAACGGGACGGAGATTTATGGGAAAACGACCAAAGATATAAAAAATTCGTTTGGGAGGAATACGTAGGTTACAGACGGCTACAATTTAAAATTTGTTAGATGTATACAGGATGTCTCACATAAGAAAAAAAAAATTAGTTCATTAAAAATTATTCAAACAAGAGTAAACAATTAATTTCTGGGAGACTTTTTTTCCTTAAAAATTCAAATAAATCGAAAACTAATAGTAATAGGGAACCTTTAGTTAACTGACATTATTTTTGATGTAGTTTTTAATTCTAAAATAAAAACAGGGTGTTCCATTAAAAATAATATAACTTTGTATATTTTCTCTTATGTGGGACATCCTGTATACATCTAACAAATTTTAAATTGTAGCCGTCTGTAACCTACGTATTCATCCCAAACGAATTTTTTATATCTTTGGTCGTTTTCCCATAAAGCTCCGTCCCGTTGAGCGTGAGCCACCCTCCTGTATATATGTTATATATATTATATAACAATTTGTTATAAACAAATGCAATTTTACGCAATATTTTTTTTTAATACTAAAAAATATTACAAAAACAACCATATATATTTTTTTATTGAAAAAATTTTTTTAATATTTTTTATTTAACTTGTAAAAATATTGTACTAAATAATTTTTTATTGCCTTTGATTGTTAATAAAAAAGTGAAAAATCAAAATTTTTTAATTTTTCCAACGGGGATCTCTTCTAAACCCTTTTAACAATAACTCAAAAAAATAAAAAAAAATTCTAGATTTCTTGTTTTGAAATAATCAGCGTTTTTATGTTAACATTAAAATGGTGAAAATTAACTAATTAACAAAAGCATAATTAATAAAAAAATAGTGATAAAAATTTTTTGTTTACGGATTATTGTTTATTCATATGTGTTGAGAATAGTTAGAACGCCTATGGCTAATTCAGTTTTTCTCAAAAAATAATGGAATAGTGACGTTTTTAAAAAACTTTTGTCAATCAATAAAAAATAAAAGTCATTACAGTAAAAATAAAAAGGCTATTTTTATTAAAACAAGATCTTTCCGTATTCTACATTTATGGCGACCGTGACAGCGGAGGATCTTGAAGGTCTTAAGAGACACAGGGTTCAACTCCGAACTTCTTTTAAAAGGGTCTGTGTGGACATTGAAAACCTTCTGAAGGAAACCACTATAGACAAAGCAGAACTCTCCATCTTTATAGACCAACTGGAAGATAAAGGTGGACGTCTATTCATCCTTGACCAGAAAATTGAAGAGGCGTTATATTCTGCAAAACTTACAGATGAAGACTATTCTGAGGAGTACTTTCAAGTTGAACAGTATAGAGACCAATTCATAAAATTTAAGAACCTTGGTAATTCTCGTATGGCTACATTCTTGAAGCAAAGAGAAACAATGAGCAGCTCTGTCTCTACTACTGAAGGTGGTAGGAAGAAAAATTTTAGGCTACCTAAGTTGCAGTTCAAAAAGTTTAATGGGGATGCTAAAAACTGGATTGGATTTTGGGGACAATTCAAGAAAATCGATGAAGATCCTGATATTCCTCCAGAAGACAAAATACAGTACCTGCAACAAGCAATGGAAGCTGGATCTGAAGCAAGCATTGTCGTAGACGGTTTTCCACCATCAGCAGAAAATTATGAGAAGGCCATTAAAAAGCTAAAAAACAGGTTTGCTAAAGATGAAATCCTAATCGAAGTCTATGTTAGAGAGTTGTTAAATCTCGTACTGCAACAGTCAACCAAGAATGATGAAGGTATGTCTCTATCTACTCTTTTTGATAAGTTAGATACACAATTAAAAGCACTAAAGACTTTAGGTGTCACATCTGAAAAGTATGCTGCTATGCTATATCCTTTGGCTGAGTCTGCTTTACCTGAGGAAGTTCTTAAAGCTTGGGAGAGACAAAGAAGTTCAATTTCAAAGCAGATTTCGAATAACGATGTAAATTCTACAACATCCACTGATTCTACTAATTATTTAAATTTATTATTAGATTTCCTGAGTAGTGAAGTCGACAGTGAACAACGTATTTCCTTAGCACGTACGAGTTTTGGGGCCGGTAACAAAAGGGCGAAGAGTCATGTCACCAGTAAGGAAAGAAGTGAGCAGGCAATGCCAAGCACAGTTGCTACTTTATTAACT